ACACAATCACAAACACAGCCACAAGCACACAACCACAAACACACAAGAACAACCACAAGCACGCAAGCACAACGCACAACCACACAAACACCAACCACAAACACAAGACACACAGCCGCAAGCACAGCCACAAACACACAATCGCAAACACACAACCACAAACACACGACCACAAGCACACAATCACAAACACAGCCACAAGCACACAACCACAACACACTCTCACAAGCACACAACCACAAACACACAAGCACAACGCACAACCACACAAACACAGAAAGACAACCGCAAACACACGAGCGCAACAATGGTAATTACCTGTGTGTGTGTCAGGCGGTGACATGGTAGCACTTTGGGATGCCAACTGAAGCCCGCGGCGACACCCCGACGCGAACTCCTTAACACTAAAAGAAGAATCCCAAATTCGAGGACCCACGAGCAAAGTCGAAAACCACAAAACCCACGACCATGGCAACGTGCCCCTCACCATGGCATGAAAACAAATCAGCTACGGTCAAAACGTGCGAAGACCACTTTAGTAAAGAGGGGTAGGTCTGTGTTCAAAACTTAGCAAAACGATGAGGTCCACCTCAAAGCCGACAACCCCAGCACTGTATATGATCATAAATATGCGGCGAACTCAAAGCACTGTAGGACGATAAGGTCCAATTCAAAGTCGGTGATGTCATGTCCATTCTTAAGTTGACAGGGAATAAGGAGTTTTGACCGTCCCTCAAATGATTGAAATGTCTTGGCGCGGAGCACTCGAAGTAAAGTAATTGTTGAGTCTTTTTGTCCGTGACATATTTTTGCTGTAGAAAGAGAAAACTTGGGCGTTCAGGCGATGGAGAAGGGGAGATGGATGTTGCGCTCGACGATGCTGCAGAAGGCTTTGGAACTGCACTACTGTTTGTCCACAGCCTAATAGCAATGGCCTCCAACCTTATAACAATGGCCCCCAACCTACTAGCGATGGCCTCCAACCTTTTAGCGATGGCCTCCAACCTTATAGCCTTATAGCGATGGTTTCCTACCAAATAGCGATGGCCTCCAACCTAATAGCCCTGTGGGAAAGAACGTTTTGTTCGAACTTTGTCATCCTGCCGAAGGCGTTATGACTGGTGCGCCGAACAACGCCGAGCATATGTTGCAGATCGTCACTGCGCAGAGCTTGCCAGATTAAGAAACAGTTGCTCTGACGCCGGAAAGCAGAGTCCAACAAATCGTCAAAGTCAAGGGAAAGAAGGGATCAGTTCACACGATCCCAGAGAATGATTGAGAAGGCTATTGAGTAAGCTGGGCCAGGATGCAGATGAAGCAGAATGAGAGGGTGCAGCTCGATGATGAGTCCTCTGATGAAGATCCAGGCAACTCTCACAAAGCATGTTTGCTAAGTTGCATTGTGTTCATGTTTCATTGTCGACCTCAACATCCTTGCAATTGAATCTGATGCACCAGAGCTTTCAACATCCACTTCCACATTTTGAAATGTTGCTCATGCTACATGTTTGTAGTAAATGCACATACATGCTGCAGTGCGACGTCGAATTCGGCCAAAGACTTGTCAGTTTGCAAATGGTGCTCAGGTTCGATCACCAGCGATCCGGCTATGTCACACACGGACTCGGTATGTCAATCTCACGCACATTGGCCTTTTGCACGCAGGGTCGTTCAACGGAACTAGGACAACATGGTGATCTTAGAATCCAGGTTAGGAAACACAATGGTTACTCTCAGCATGTTCCAAATGTTGGTTGGACATTGATGATTCGAGATAACAGCAAAAGAATGTTTCTTGGGTCTTTAACTTCATGCCCGTGTTTTCCCATTTGTTTTCCATCTATTGCATCCTACGCGTACTGAGCTGAGCCGCAGGATAGCGACGGCTGAGCGACAAGGCTTTGGCCAAGCCCAAGGAGCAGTTGTCCAGTTCCCATTCACAGACATATTGACCTAATATGGAGAAATCTCAAAGATCTCAATTGCATCAAGCTTCGGGTTTGATTTGTTAAGCATTTGAGCAACTCAAAAAATAGCTCCCAAACCGCTGGCGAAGGAAACGGCAAAGCCGTCATTCCACTCGCACTAGATGCCAATGAGAGAAAAGTGTCTAAGGAAATGGGTGCTGCACCTGGTCTTAAGGAAAGACCCTCAAAATGTCTAAGGAAGTCCCTGAAAAGAATTCTTCAGAGATGCATGTGCTGCCGAAAGTTCCCTCAGGCTCAAGCTAAAAGCCACAGGGATCATGATCGACAGCCGTGCTGGTTTGCCACAGTATTTGGCAGGTGACGGTTTGGGTTTGCCCTGCGCCCGGCTCCGCCCAATCAAGAAAAAGTCCAACGGATTGCCAACAGTTGAACTGAAAGCTGTCAAAGAGGAAGGCTTTCACTTGCCTGGTGGAAATGCAGATACCGATCTGACGTTGATTGCATTCGCTGGGACAAAGCCCCTGGACTTGAAGTCTGCACGAGCTCGGTCACAAGGCTGTTTGCGAACAGGAGGCCCGCTTGATCGAGTCTTGAAGTTGCGGAAGGAGAATGACTTGGAAAGACTCGTAGATGTTCTTGTCAGGGCTGCACCAGATCAACGTCACGATGCTCTCAGATACTTCAAGCAGCCTTATAACGCCCACCGAGCAAAGATGGCTCCCCGGTATATTGATGAGGAAAACCGGCGCAGACTTGTATTGCAAATTTTGAAAAAGTATGCTCTTTGTGACATCTACGATCTGATCCGTGTAGATGAGAAGCAGTGGGCGAGCATTAGTCGCGAACTTGGTGGACTCAGCTATGGGGTGGCCATGAGGTCTGCCATGGAAGCCGTCGCAGAGTCAATGACACCCTTAGAACGGGCCACATTTTGGGCTGCAGTTGGCACACGGCAACGGGCTGCAGACCATGGACGAAGTGTCGTTTTTGCAGCTCAAGACAGTCCGAATGTGCTGCATTGAGCTTGGACTTGCTGTACAAGCAGATCTCTTCCCGGTAAAGTAAATTAAAGTGTGTTGCTACAGATCGAGGAGTCCCCAAGGGATAACTTGATTTGCGAGGTTTCACAGGAGAAGATTTGGAGAGCTGTACAGTATGTAATATTGTGTATTGTTTAGGCCTAAGGATTGGGAGATTGCCAGGCTGTTCAAGACAGCGGACTCCCGATACACACGGATGCAAAGTAAGCAGAAAAGAGACGGGCTTGCAAGGCTAGTGATAGTGGACTGACACCAGAATGGCATCCGGAAGCCAAACTGGAGGAGGCCATCGCTAGTAGAAACAAAGAAAAAATCAAAGGAATAAAGGTCTAATATAGTTTGTTATTAGGTTGGAGGCTATCGCTATTCCTGCAGGTGACACCAGCGTGGCATCCGGAAGCCAACTGTATATTGACTAGAGGAGCAAGTGGCTGTCATACAAGCGATTCATGTATCGGACTAGCAAGTCGCATTACGCATACAAGATTCATCAAGATGTCTTTACTGCTCATGAATGACCCAACGAGATTCAAGCATGCTCATATTTGTCCGTAGCATTTGAAGCCTTGATCTACTTCGCTGCCTCGAGCGTAGGGGCAAATCATGGCACGTGGCCGAATCTTGTCCGTGCTGCTGGAGCTTTTGGCATGGCTTGCCGGGAAAGATCAATAGCTTTGGCAACTCTGTCTCATGGACTTTCATGGACTAAGTATACTTATAGCTTGCAAGGAAGACTAGACAGATCGATGCAATTGAATGGAGACAAGAAGCTGTGCCAGGCTATGCCATGCTACACCACAAAGAGTTTTGTGAAAGATGTTCAACAGCCTTGGCACCGCGTGTTGGTTCTAGCAACCCGTGGCACATGCCAGCTTATCGCGGCCGTCGCTTCCGTGACTGAGCTCTTCACCGGCTTCGTGGTACGGTTCACAGAGTCTTTAGTGTATCACACAAAGCCTTGCAGTTGAGACATTGAATGACTTGAGTTGGTTTCTTTTTGTTTGTGTTTTGTGGTTCGCTTTGCTCAGCTTGCATGCACGCCGGATGTGCATACAACGTGCACAAGTGCAATATGTCGCAAGACCTGACCAAGAATAAAGCTTTCGAAATTGGTGCAAGTGATTTACGTTCAACCCAAAGGCCAATCCCAGCTCGGAATCTCGCAGCAACCTTAGTTCTTTTTGGGTCAGGGTCATGGTATGACCAGGCCAGTAAGTGTTTCTTTTTTCACTCTCCATGAAAGGCATTGGTTTTCAAACATGTTTTCATGTGCCTATGTGCCTTTGTGATTTTATACTTTAACGTATCGATGCTCGACTTAGGCGAAGCATACCCCATAGTCAAACATCCCGACCCGGGAACGTCAAAACAATACAAACCCATGTATTCTATTGTATTCTCATCTTCTTGTATCGAATGGGCTACTATATCGCCCGGGTGCCACCGACCCCCTATTTGGAGCAAGCAAGTAAGACAAAGACGCCTGCAAAGGAAATACACAGGAATCAAAAGGAAAATCAAAAGGAATGAACAGGAAAGGAAAAGGAGTCCAAAGCACATCAAAAGGAATCAAAAAGAGATTAAGAGGGATGACAATCAAAGGCACCGAGGGCTGTCCGGAGCCCAGAACGTTGCCCTTGGAACCCCATAGAAGGAGTAGTCCAAGAGAGCTCCAGGTGCTCCGAAAAGCAGCCCACGGCCTTGGCATGGTCCTGAGGCCGCGCCAAAACCAGAGTCTCGCCACACTGAAACACCCTGGCCGTGGAGGTTTCAACGGGGCAGGGAGTGACCGCTGACACTGTCTAACGTTGCCTTTGGAGCCCTATAGATAGAGTAGTCCAGACGAGCAGCAGGTAGCTGCGAAAAGCAGCCTACGGCCTGTCAGCATGGTTGTGAGGCCACGCCAAGAATTGAGTGTCGCCACACCGAAAAACCCTGCCCTGAGTGTCGCCACATGGAAAGAGTAGACTATAGGACGTCCCCATGGACAGAGTAATCTACGGCCTGTTGGGTATGGCGTCAGAGGTTGAGAGGCCACGTGCTGCCACCAACCGCCTAGGCGTCAGCTGGCAGGGGTCGGCGGATAATACATTGTAATACTGGGACTGAAATCAACTATGAATCGCTTTGGTCCCACAACTGCCGCTAGCAATGCCCAAGCGCTGCATGAGGAAACAAATCACTTGCGCAGGCTTCCTCAGTTTACTCCAAGATTGTTTATGAATTTACGACTGCTTTGATCAAATGAGAAGATAAAACGTAGGTGCTTCGGGAGTGCATTCCCGGAAGCTCCCTATATTGACCAACTCAGGTTTGCGGGCAAGGCGCAATCCGAATGTCGCGATGAATGCTGCTGGTGTCTCAGTTTCTTCCGCTGACTGGCATTGTGTCGGGGATTTCTGCCGGCATCGCAGCTCTGTTGGTAGAAGTTGGAAAGTGGGGTCTGTTGGTAGAAGTTAGATAGGGTCGCAGCACTTGCGCAATTTCCAACAAAGTGCGCAATAAAGTTGTCGGGTGTTCCAGGAAGACCCCCTGGACTTTGTGGGCAAGACTGGAAAGAGGCGATTAATTTTCTGGCGCATTGCACAGCTACGGCGATTCGAAAATGCCTGCACAGACCCATGAATTGAGTTTGTTAACTCGACATCATGGAACAAAGACATGAACAAGAATGTCAATGAAGATTGCAGAATGCGATTGATATTGAGGATGTTTTGTTCCCGGCAGCTTTCGTGGGAACAAATCAATGTTTCTATAGCAAAGGTTGGTCTTGCTCAAAACAATTCAAAACATGTACACTGAATGCGCTGTGATTCTCGGGGCGAAGGATAGAAGCCAACTCTGAAAACGAGCAGCTCGTTGACCTCGCCGCGCAGCTGCGTTGGGTTTCGCTTGGCACTGATGGGAGAATTGTAAAACTGCGTTCAAAAACTGCAGCAGGTGTTGGCTCTTGTAATGAACCAAGAAAAATATAGAAAAATTGTAATTTGCATTCCCTGACTTGAATTCGGTTGGGATCATTGCATTGCGAGGATAACTTTTGGGCGATTTTCTTCACAATCGCTGGCGCCGCTTGGCTGGAAGCATCAGATTGTGGGTGACAGAGTTTAGACATGACATTGAGCCCGCCTGGATTGCAACACAGTGGAAACTTGAGGTCTTCAAAACATAGAAGCCAAGTCTAAGCATGACAGGAATTTAGTCGTACATATTTGTACTTTGGAAGACAATGGTCAGCGTTTGTATCCAGGTGGCGGCTACGTATTTCTTTGTCACCTTCATTCAGGGTTTCAAGCAATGCCCCCAGTGTGGCATTTCACTCGTCCAAGGCAAGAACTTGTTTTCCTTAGATTTACTTGTGTTATGATGATGACGTTGATTGTGACCACACGGTCGACAAATGTCGATAATAGTGTCATAGGTGGCAAGAGAAGCAAGAGATTTATGAGCATTTTGCTTGTGAGCACCAGTGTTTGTGAATGACTCCCAAGTGCCAAGTGCCATATCAATAGACGAAAACGTTGACCACCATCCATCATCTCCGGATCCTTGATTCAGCAGTGCGCTGAACGTCACCGGGAGGCACCTTTGAAACTTTGACAATCTGGCAAAACCAAGCCTTTTGAATTGCTCAGGCCCACCTGAATCATCATACTGATAGGGTTCCTTGCAAAGTTGCGAGGAAAGCCTGTACAATGTGCGTTGAGCTGTTTATTTTGCGTATCGATGATAGGGTTGCATTGTTACGATAATTACTACATTTCATGGTTCCCAATTTCAAAACATATAATATATATATAAAATAGAAAAGAATAGATATACAATATAATATAGTATAAATCGATTTGTTGATTATCGCGAATGACGGGTCCGGATTTATTTATATTAAAAGAAGATGATGATGCAAAAGAAATCTTTGGAAGGAATTATATATATGCCGATCGCCGAAATTGTTTCCGATGACGAGGATAAAAGGTTTTTTTTAATTCATGCAGAAATAAATATATTGAAATATATTTAATATTTTTAATCGACGATGAAATTTGAATTAATTTACTATGAATGAAAAATGCATTAAGAAATAATTAATATGTATTATTTATATTTTAAATATATTTTTATGTTTTTTTAATTGATTTGGAATTGATTATTGTATTATAAAAATACAATTTATTATATAGAAAATATTTAATATTTATGGATTATATTCTGATATGAATTTCTTAAAATATGTTCGTTTCGTGAAACATTACCCGAAAAAATATATAAATGTGGAAAATTCTTTTGTATATAGGAAAATATCTTTATATGTTTGATAATATAATTTATTTAAAAAAAATTAAATAAAATATAATATATTATATATTTTATTTACCTAAATCTTCTAAATATATAATATTGCAATATTTTTAGCAAATTAATGAGTAAATTCCGAAAAAATTGGGATATATATATATTATTTCTATTAATCCATATGGGTTCCAAAAAAAAAAATAATTCTCATATTGAAGAATAATCTAATTTTCTTTCGATATAATCGACGATATTTAATAGAAATTTAATAAAATGATAAT